GTGATAGCACACATTAAGTGTCATTTTCCAGAAGAGGAGGCTGGTGGGCAAAGAAGGAGAGGCAGCCCCACCCAGAGGTGATGGGCACTGCTCTGAAGTCACCCCGCTGGGCCCGAGCCCTGGCCTGTGCCGTCCGCAGAGGACCCTGCGCCGGCATCCTTCTTCTCCGGGCTCCAGGGTCCACGAGCCGGGGGGGCGATCACCAGGGTCCACGACCCGGAGGCGATCACCAGGGTCCACGAGCCAGGGACCTATCACCAGGGTCGAGGAGCAAGGGGGCAATCACCAGGGTCGAGGAGCAAGGGGGCAATCACCAGTGTCCAGGATCAAGGGGACAATCACCTGATGTAGGAGCAGGGGCGATCCTCAAGTCCCACCCGTGGGTTGTGTGCAAAGGCAGAGGGCGGAATGCCTCCCGGCTCAGACGGTGTGCCTTGGCATGGTGCTGGGACCTCACGCCGTGAGCCCCACGGTGTCCCTGAGGTGGCAGGTCAGGGCAGGCTCTGGAACAACTTTCCCTGGCTGGTGGCTCTCATGAGCCCTCCCACCTGCACTGACCCGTGGGAGGTTCTGGACTGGGCGGGACAGGCACAGATGTGCTTCCAAGTGTCCAAGGGCCACACCTTGCCTTGGCTAGCCAGGGTTGGGCGGGACGGAGAACATGACTTACACTGAGGATCCCGAGAGAGGTCTGCAGGGCGTGAGGCCGGACACACACATGAGACCCTTCAGGGGATATCATGGGACACTTTATTTCCCTAAACATGTCTTGTTTCTTAATGTGTCTAAAATTGCCAAGTATTCTTTTTTAATGAGAAAAATTAAGCAAATTTTAAAAATGAAGTCTACATTGTTCTGACAGTGAGGTGAGGACATAAGAGACCCCAGATGGTGGCACAGCCCTGTCCCCTGCAGGAGCCTGTGGTGTCCAGGCGGCCTCATGGCATCCCCAGCCCTCAGGCCTCGCACGAGGACATTTTAGTTTTATCAGCGACACAATTAAACTCCACAAAGTAAATAAACCTCCTCCCCCGGGTCGGTGGCCCCTTGTGTCCTTGAAGCCAACACGTCCCTCTCCAGGCGGCCCACAGGGACCCTTTCTGGCTCAGAAATTCTGTGAGCACATGCCTGAGGTCTGGGGGTGAAATTTCCATGTTGACCCCAATTCCCCAAGTTTCTTATCACCATTTATCGTTATTATTTATTGGAAGTCCCCAGTGTTCAGGAAGCTCTTTGTAAATGCCATGGACCCTGCTCAGATTATAAACATGTGGCTATCTAATGATAGCCCTCCCCCTACCCTCTTGGAGCTCAGAGGACACGAGCCCAGAGGGCTTGATTGACTTGTCCCGGGACACACAGCACCAGGGAGCTGGGTTCCCCTCAGGCAGGGGGTACTCCAGGGCCATTCCGTCCGGCCTGACCAGCACCCACAGCAGGGCGGAGTGGGGATAGAGCAGGTCTATTTACACCAGAGGCAAAAAACCCACTTCCAGCCTGACCTTCAGGGGTCCCCAGAGGTCTGCCCTGGCCCGAGGTCACCACGCAGGCAGAAGCCTCGGGTCAGCCGCCCGTCTGTGGGATCTGCTGAGCTGTCAGTCCCAGGAGGAAGGCACCGACTGCAACTTGGTGTTTCTCTGCAGAGGTGAAGGTGGTGGGGCTGGGGGACTCCGTCAAGCTCAGCATCCTCCGAGGCTGTCCGGGGCTGCCCGGGGCCGCGGGGCCCAAGGGAGACGCAGGGGTCAACGGAGAGAGAGGTAGGTGCAGCGGGCCCGGGGTGGGGTGACAGGGGGCCTGCTCTTCTCCAGCTGGACCCAGGGTTGAGCATCCCCCCACCCCTCCGGCTGGAGCTCGGACCTTGCCCTGTGCACAGCCAGTGTCAGAGCCACGTGGGTCCTCTCTGGGTGGAGTCAGACCCTACGTGGAGGGGCTCGGGATGACCCTATCCGGGGGCTGGGCACGGGGCCAGTCTGGCTCGCCCTGCCCGGGACCCACTGCAGGAGAGCGTGGCCGGGTCCTGCGGGGACCAGGGGGCAGAGTCTCCCAGGATGTGCCCCGAGATCCGGGCCCCTGACTGGACGGCAGGCCTCGGTGAGGGCGGCACGGGCCTAGGCCCACCACACAGAGCTCAGCAGGGGCAGGAATCCACGCGGCCCTGGGGACTGGGCTCCAGGTGACGGCCTGGTCCCCACCCTTGTGCCCGGGGCTGCTCCGTCCACCCCGAGGCAGCGGTTCTGTGGAGAAGTGGCCCTGGGCGGACCTCAGTACTTGGGGCAGAGGGCTCACATGGAATTGTGGCGGCCGTACCTTTGCCCATGATGCCTGCGTCCTTGGAATTTGCAGGAGCACCTGGTTCCCCTGGAGTCCCTGGGAAGGCAGTACCGACGCGACCCAAAGGTAACAACGTGAGGAAGAGTGAGGACCCCTCGGGGGACCCCGGGCTCTGTCCATAGAGAAATGAGAGAGGAACACAGAGATTCAGGGAGACAGGGAGACAGGGAGGAGGCCAGAGAGACAGACGGGGTGGGACGGGAGGCGGACAGAGGGACGGGGGGCGGCGCATATTTCCATTCCCAGGGAGCCTCGAGCTAGTGCATGACCAGAGTCCTGGTCCAGGGCACTTGGTCCACAGTGCCCTCTCCTTCCCGGGGGCAGGATCCCTGGCCTCGGGGTCCCCTCCCCTGCTTGGAGACCCTGGCCTTTGAATCCTTGGAGACCCAGAGAGCAATGAGGGTGTCCTGCCCAGAGCAGGAGCCTGGGGCTCGGCTCCCGCTGCCCTTCCCGCCAGCCCCTGAGGGCAGAGGTGCTGGGTGGTGTCCCGAGCGCTCACGCGGCCTCTCGCTGACCACACTGCCCTGCATCGGGGGGCCCAGCCTCCTGTCTCTTCTCCAGGAGACCGCGGGGAGAAAGGTGAGCCCGGCTCGCGGTCCGGGGGGCGCCTCGGCAGGCTCTGTCCACGTGGGGGTCCCAGAGCCACAGTCAGCCTGGCAGCTTCCCCTGGGGAGGGGCTCAGACCCAAGTCCCTCTTCTGTCAGGGAAACGGTGGGAGGCGTGCAAGGTCTGGCTCAGGGCTCGGTCCGATGGCCTGGTCGGTGAGGGCCCGAGCCCCGCGTCTGCCCGCGTTGGACCCAAGTGACGGCAAGACAACATTACTGCCAAGTGGGGACGCTTCGCGGACTTTCCCTCCTAACCATTCTCACCTCGTTACCAAATTGTAAGAGTCAGAGAAGGCAATTGGCCAACTCGAAACACAGTCAGGAGCTCCGTGCTCATACAAGAGCGCAGGAATGGGGCGCAGACCCGAATGCCCAAGGCCCCAGCGCTCTCCCCAGGCGGAGGCTCGGAGCGACAGCGGGTGGAGCTGACACCGACCAGAGAGACCAGGACGAGTCCATACCCGCGCCACTGAGGCCCGGGGGCCCTCAGGAGATGGCCGGCACCGGGTGCACACAGTGACCCTGAGTGACAGCGCTGCCCCACGGCCCCCAGCCCAGGCTGGACACGGGGGACCCAGCAGACCCGCTTCCAGGGACGGGCAGTCTGGAGCCCACCCCTGGGACTGGACGGTCTGCCCCGGACAGATCCCGATCCTATTTGCATTCTGTATGCCGGCCGCTGAGCACCTGTGGCTGAAGGGGACGGGGGCGCCCGTTTCCAGACCGTGATGGGTGCGTGCTCTCCCCACAAACAGGAGAGCCTGCGCATCAGTCCTGTGACGCAGGTGCCTGACCATGCCGCCGACCTCCGCACGCTTCCCGCCAACCAGAGGCCAGCCCCACCCTGCCCCAGCTTCCAGAATCCAAGGACCACACGCTCTTAGACACGTTTCCCTCCCTCGGCTACTCAGCAATGGGCAGCTAGCACCTGGCAATGTTCTCAAGAAGCTAAAATGTCCCCTGAAGGCCAGGGGTCCAGGGACTAAGGCGGGGCGGCCCTGGGAGGGGGCGATGGCCATCACGGCCGCGCGGCCCGGGGCTCAGGGTCTGTCCAGGCCCAGGGTCCCCCTCCATCGTGTAGACGCCCCCCATCATCGCCCCGCCCAGGGCTCCCTGCCTGACATCAGCCTCCGGGTCCGTCCCCAGCACCTCGGACCTGTAAGGAGCTGCTCACGAGGGGGCACTTTCTGAGCGGCGGGTACACCGTCTACCTGCCCGACTGCAGGCCCCTGAGTGTGCTGTGTGACATGGACACGGACGGCGGCGGCTGGACCGTGAGTGTCGGAACCGGAGACCGCCCGGTGGTGCAAGGGGGAGGGCGGGCTCTGCCTGGGGATCCCACAGAGCAGCTCGGCCGCCCGAGGGAGGACACTCTCGGGTGGCCTTTGTCAAATTGTCCACATCCCCCGTGAGGCTGCCCTGACCCTCTGGTCCAGGCCGGGGCGAACAAGACACCTTGGTGGGGGGCAAACTCTATGGGAGGGAGTGCAGACTTTGGGGCGAGGCCCAGAAGGAGCCCACACCTCCAGCTGTGTGGCTTAGGACTTGTCACCCACCTTCTCTGTTCCTCTAGTTTTCCCCTCCCTCAGCTGTGGGCTCTGTACACCCCCTGGGGTCTGAGATGAGCCCCACAGCCATGCCAGGCTCTCGGTCGGGATGATCCCTGAGCTACAAGGCCTCCTCCAAGGTGGTGGGGCCCCTGAGCCGTGGACCCCAGCAGGGCCCCGGCCCCCGAGCCCGCTCGCCTTCCATAGGTTTTCCAGCGAAGGAGCGACAGCTCCGTGGATTTCTTTCGAGACTGGGCCGTGTACAAGAAGGGCTTCGGCAGTCAGCTGCGGGAGTTCTAGCTGGGGAATGACAACATCCATGCCCTCACCGCCCAGGGTATGTCCCTGACCTCCACCTGCCCCGGACCTGAGCCTGGCCCCACGGAGCTGAGGAACACACCCCTCCTCCTGCTGGGGTGCATCTGAGCGGGATCCATTAGTTCTGTGCCCCCCCATGTGTGGGAGCCCTGCCGTGGTCTCACACATCAGGTCGGGTCATGTAAGGACCAAGGTGAAGGACTCTGGCAAGCATGCACCCCAGCCTGCACGGTCTGGATGAGGGCAGGGTCTTTACCCTCAGGTTCGTCTGCCCAGAGCGTCACTTGTCGCTGTCCTGGGGAGGCCGCCAGGGGGGCCATCTCCCCTCCCTGCCCAGTACGCCTTGGCCGACTCCTGAAACACCTGCTCCAGCGAGTACCCGACCTTCCCACATGCAGGGACGCCAAAGCAGTTAGGGCACGGGTCTGTGAGTGATGTCACAGCCTGCCGGGAAAATGCACATTGTTGATGTAGAGTAGTGTCGTGTTCCAGCAGACTAACAGGAAGAGGGGATTACAGGTGTGGTAGAAGGACTCTTGGGAAGTGGTTTTCAAGTCCTTCATATAACCAAGGACTTCTTCCATGATCGTGCAGACCTTCCCTGCCTGCCAAGTTGAGACAGTCCCTACACACTTTCCTAAATTCCCACCTCCCAGCCCTGGAGACAGAGGGTCCCTCTGCTGGGACCTCACAGCCTTTCTGCCCCAGGAACCAACGAGCTCCGTGTAGACCTTGTGGACTTTGAGGGTAACCGCCAATTTGCCAAGTACAGCTCATTCCAGATGGCGGGCAAGGCCGAGAAGTACAGGCTGGTCCTGGGAGCCTTCGCTGGGGGCAGCGCGGGTGAGTGTCCGCCCTGGGCCGAGGGGCCTGGGCTGCAGTGCAGAGGGGACCTGCTTCCCCTCCTGGCTCTGCCCCGTCCGTGGGGAGAGAGGTGGCGGCAGCCAGACGTGGCTCTCCATCCATCCATAGGTGAGGGAAATGTCACCCACACCTCATGGTGCCGACAAAGTCCATGTGACCCATTTAGTACAAAGTCCGGGAGAACGGGTATTCTTATTTCCCGCCATTATTACACCAACAGGGGCAGGGTGCTAATGTGGCCCATTTCTGTGGAGCTGAGCTCTTGCTTCATGGTGCCTGGTGCTCTCTGCTGAGCAACCTAGGAGTCCAGGGCCACGAGTGGCCTCCCTCCAAGTCAGGGTGCCTGCCAGCTGGCAGGGACAGAGGGGGTGACGGATGCCAAGGCCACTGTACCAGAGAGCAAGTGTTGCCCGGCACCCCCTAGAGTTGTGCAGTACACGTCTTGCACCCCTGGACAGGACACGTTCCTGCCTAGACCTAGGATCCAAGTAAAACGGCCCACTCTCCCTCTGTGCAGGGGTCCCTGTCAAACCCAACAACCTC